AATGTCCATAAAACAACATTTCCAAAAAACAAGATGGCTGCCAGTTGGCCATCTTTCATCCGACCGTGAAATGAATCGTCATAGACATGTATCCTAACACATATAATGTATGTACGAAATTTGAACAAAAACTGACAAAGCATGCATAAGATACCTTATTTTCAAAAAACAAAATGGCTGCCAGCCATCTTGGGTTGAAACAGTACATGTGTATATGCATGTACATATGTTCCAGATGAAGTATTCGTTACATCCAGGAAATGAATAGATTTGGTCCACAGGATTCTGCAATATGACTCCGAAGGGGCGGACAGAGACCAAATTATAAGTCCCTGTTTCAAGTTTTGTTCGAACAGAGACTAAAAACAGTGTGTTTCTAGTAACCCATCTTTGTAGGTTGACCTTGTGCCAGCAACAATGTGTCAATAAGAATTGACTAATTTGTAGATAACGTGGTCATTGTCTGCAGGTTCGTTGGCGTTGAGTCGTTTTCATAAAAATAAGTAAAAACATTGCTGTGTGATGCTGTTATATTCCATATTCATATCAGCTGTCTGTGGTACTGGTTTTCAGCAGGCGTTGTGTTGAAATAAACAGTTATTTCTACATGCCTGTTCTAGTTTTCAATGTTCCCTGAAACACAGTCTTTACTGCGATGGCAAGAAAGAATGGAACGGTAATATTGCAGTAGGAGACACTTTGCTAATGATATACAATACAATATAGCCATTGCTTCCTATGTCAACACTTTGTGCAATGTTATTATTTTGTTTGCAAAACATTATCTCATACTGCAATATTGCTGTTCCATTCTTTTTGCAGTCGCAGTAATATTTTAGTTCGCTTAACAGTATACATTTGTTTCCTGCAAACATAACCATATTTATTTTTCTAGTGAGTTTAAAGCGAGGGAGTCGTCACCTGCATATACGTCAGATGGCCATTGTGTGTCATTGTTTATAAACAAGCCTCTACCCATGAGCCTTTGCGTTTCTAGTGCGTGTTGTTATTGTTGCTTGGGACGGTTGGTTGGTCCCGTGCGTGCAGGGGACGCCCCTCCCGCTTTAATGAAATGATATAATAATTGTACTTCACCTGGGGCGTACATAGCAACTGGCGGATTTTGAATTGTATCAATAGTGGTGCCTGTGATATCAATAGGGTCACTCCAGGTTTTACCAAAATCACGACTCTATTAAAAGAAATAAACAATATTATTTACTATTAGTACATGTAACATACAAACTTTTGAAAATGTCAAACATGTGTAACAGTTGGTTACAATGTTACATTCAATTAGAAAGGCACATTGGATTGAGGGAAAATCAATGTTTATCAACACAAATGTTGCACATGCCAATTTTGATTAAAATCAACAACCACTCCGTCTTTTTAATAATTTCTTTCTAACCATAGAAAAACTGAATTGAATAAGTATGTTAATCATGTCTTAATTTAATGTTGCATTCAGACTGCATTCAGAGTATGTGAAATAAAATTTGCATATTGTTTCTATGGAGAAATGGAAGGAAAAAGTTATATATTGATATGAATACTTTCATGTCCAAAATAAACATAGCCCCCCCCCCCCCCAAAAAAAAAAAAAAATCCAAAATGGCTGGTATAAATTATTCCCTTGCTTCTTAAATGTGCTCTTACTGGTGTATATGCAAAATTCTCTCTATCCCTTGTAATAAGAAATATAAATGGAAAACAAATGATGCATTTCTAGCAATATACTTCAAATGACTGTTTGCCAGGCCGCAAGATCTAATCAAATAGCAAACCAATCACAACCCGAGTTGGCCTGGCTGTGAAACTTCCAGCCAATCAGTACAATGGTGACATATTTCGAGACAATACTTCTCTCGATTTGCATGCCACCGTGCAAGATACCGGGAATTACAAAATATCAAAACAAATAAACAATCAGACGACTTAAAAACTTTATTGTGTGTACAGTGTAAGCTGACAAACAGGAATCCCTTTGGCCCCGGACCATGCATTTTGACTCAGTCCTCTCCAGAGGCTATTACGCCACATGCCAGCACTTCGGCAAGCCTCCCCAACGCTGATTTTCCAAGGGAGAATGACCCTGTTAAGTTTGTCGTTTTGCACACGTGTTTGAGCATTTATAAATGTCTTATCATCAAAGATTGTATAGATTTTTTTTTAACAGATCTGATTTAGAAAAATAAATAGACATATCATGTTTTTCGGGAAAAAAAATAAACGTACTGGTATGTTTGTTTGGGACATGAGAGTACTAATATTATTGAAAGATTTAAAAAAAATTTAATTTTCAGTGTGATAATAGTTTTCTATATACAATGGGAAGTTCTCTCCCATAATGCATTGCCACAATTTTGCTCACTCACACTGCCTTAATGCAAAGTTTCAATGAAATTTACCCAGACTGTCACAGAAATGGTTGAGAGCATATTGAAAATGTTTCTGAGGAATGAAAACAACATATTATGAAGATAACAACACTTATGTTACCTTGACAACAGCAACAGTGACTTGATGTTGTCCCATTTTCATCAAGTATTTTTCTCCTATCCTAGGATCCACTGCGAGAAACACCAGAATTACTGTATTCCTCATCCTATCGTACACAGGGCAGGGGTTAGAGGTCCTGCAAAGGAAAAGAAAAGTCCAGTCACTGGTTGAAAATGTGTGCTGATTCATACAATACAAACAAACATCAACACCATGAATTATTTATTACTCAGAGCACAGAATCAAATTGTCCATGCATATATTTTCAATATTTGGGGAATTTTCACTCAGTTTTGGGTTCATAAAATTGCCAGTGACACACTGAGTTCTATTCAACATGTGAAATTATTTTAACAGATTTTCAATGAAAAAAATACAGTGAATAATCTGAATGTATTTACAGTATAAATCTATTAGTCCTATCAGCTTAGTTTTATACAACAACTTAAAAACCAAAGATTATTTGACATATCAATAAGCCAATAAGTTGAATCCCAACATTTAAACGAAAGTGATTTCTAGTTTTTACAATCAAATCACATTTGGTTGAAAGTCTAAAAAATTAAGTTAATTTAACTATACTGATACTGCTAATATTGGGAATATTAACCCAGTTGAGTTCTCACTCTAAATACGTTAGTTAACCATTTCAAAACCAGTTGGTTTTTATTAGAATTCCACTCATGAATCTAGATGCTACATTTTTTTTCTCAAATAGCAAGCATTACATTTGTGGATGGCAAATGTGAACCTTGCTCTTAAAGGGCAGTGTGCGACATTTGTGTGGATAAACATTGATATTCCCTCAATCCAATGCGCTTTTCTAATTAAAATCACGATTACGAGTTCTGATCTAGGCACAACATGCACTAATTACCATCGGTGACTCCTTCAATACCTTCCAAATACCATGAAAATTACATAGTTAAATCTTAGTAGCGTCTCAGTTTGTATTTGTTGGTCTGTGCAACAGTCAAAGGCGCCATCTTTGTCGTACCTCGCACATACATAGTTATTGTACTATAAAACACATAGAGGCGGATTTAAGTAAAAGATGGCAGTCATCGCAAGCAAATCTGTTATTGTTTGCAATGAGAATTCTTAACTCGTTACGAATATGGTACTGCCCCAAAAAACTAATCCTGTTTTGAAAGTACAATGACCTTTTTGAATAGTACAGTAGTACATATGAAGAGTTCATACACCTAAAATGAAATAAATTTGAAGACTTTTTTATCAGTTTTCAAAACTATTTCATCACCATAACAACTTTTGTCATTTTCATTTACTCAACTCACCTAATGCTGAATAACTAAATGACTAACATCAATACATTCCCTGACACAGCCAAGATGTGAACATAAACCCCTCAATTCGGAGTGAAAACTGTTCTCCCATAATGGCCAATCATGAAACAGTACTAAAACTTGTTGTTCACAGAGGGCTCCCTAGAATACTCCTATAAATTCTTCACAATCATTAAAGTGACTATTTTGAAGCTTACAATCTATACCTAATGATATCTTCAGTTCTTTAATTGAAATGTGCATTTTAGAGAATAAAAATATCATCACGAAATGAAAAAATCAGAGAAAGATTATGTTTCTGTAAATTTCATCTTTCGCTCAAAACATCTGCACCCTGATTGCTTGTATTTGCACCAAGCTCCTCATCTCAAGGAGTTAGAACATAACTAGGCATTGCAGGTACCCTGTACCTTTGATCATCTTACCTCAAACCTGCAACCTGGACAACAATTTTGCTTTCTTCCCACTGTACACTGTTGTCAGGTTGCAGTAGCCCTCTTTTAGAAACGATGGCCATTTTTCCATTGTCTGCCAATCGTGCCCTAGCTTCACAGAAAACCAAGAATTGACCATCATGATACAGCATTCCAGGCACTCTACAAAGAGAGAATACTAGTTACTGTAAAAGGTTTAATTATTCACTGGGTTTTAATTTTGCTTATTTCGCTGACTGAAAAATGCGCTAAATTATAACCCAGTGAATATGTAAAATTGAGCATAGAACACATTATCTAAATGATAAAACCGTGAATTTAAAACCCACTGACTATGCCTGAAATGCTAAATCAGTGAAATTTAAACCCAGTGAAAATTAGTCATTTCACAGTATAGCATCCAAACTCATTATGAATAATCCATTGACATTTGGAAAAGGTCATTTAATATCAACTTATTACTGAAAATACTGTAATAAAACACTTTATTTTCGCTTAGAGCTTATTTGTGCTATTTTTGCTGATGGATGATTCAGTGAATATAGAATCTTTTGAGTATATAATTATTCCTATATTTCACATTTTTAGTATGTATGGCATGCATATTAATTTCATAGGAAAATGATTCTTCAACTTGCTGCTTAAAAATTATATACAATTTGGGAGAACAAACAAACTAATCAACAAAGTAAAAAATTCTTTTCAGGAAAAATGCATATATTTTCAGGTAATGAGAATTAGTTCTAATATGCTTTTCCACAGTGTTAATAGAGAAGGGCAAGTTTAAATGGAAAGCTACACGTGTGTAAGGATGTGCCACTAAATAAAGTCACTCGCAAAAATGTGTCTTTATCAAGCATTTGATTGAAAAATAAACATTTAAAAGCATTGTATGCACCTCAAAAATAAATTTAGTTGGTGATAAAATCAGTTATTTGTATCAAAATTGTGCAAATACTGGAGTATAAATAATTGTCTTTTTAGATTGTCGGAGGAAAAGATGGAGGCAGGTGGTACTGGAGGCGAATCCCTACCACTGCTACAAATACGTTTTTTAACAAAATCATTTCACGTCTTCATTTACATACCTGGTAACATTGAATCCCTTTTCGTTGCCAGTGAACACATCTGTAAGTGAATAAGGAAGTAAGCAATTGATACATTTAGTGGTATAGTAGAGCAGGTGAATCACTCTGAACAGCCTGTGGTTGCAGTTGGCTCTCAGTAAAATGTACCTTACCCATGATAAATATCTTGGTACCGGGGTACTTAAATTGGTTAAGTTTATTTTGATATATGTATACATCATGAAGAAAAGTAATAATGATGCAGAATTATCAAGTAAAAGTATCTTAGGGGGAACCTTGGTTAAGGTCCGCAAGTGTTTGTGTTCGACAATAGCGCATTAAAATTGCCATTTGATAGAGGGATGGCCACACGGCCCTGTCATGTAGTCCCAAACATGAATATGACTTCTGTGGCAAAAATGTGTCAGCACTTGCACTTAATACAAAGGAAAAAATCAGGAGAAACAATGACAGTGATACTCAATGTTCAGAACAAAAACAATTTAAAAAAAAAAAAAAAGTATCTCAATGCCATATTCCTTTCACACAGATTAGCATCTCTACATTGAAGTATAGAAAAAGAGGAATTCAAAAGCAAATTTTTGTTCCACACGTTTCAAGCAATACACAATATCTCACGTTGAATGGAAAATTGCCTATTAATGCCACACTTAAAAAATAACTCGTACTTACCCATGACTTCTGACATGAATACATTATCTTGCTTCCATCTGATTGGTAATTTAAAGTCTGTATTTTGTTTCACAAGTCTTGGCTCATGCGGTTTGTTAAAGAAAGGAATAATATTTTCATCTCTGTGGTGGTGCTGGTGTTGATACTGAGTGAGCTGCGGTTGATTGTTTCGATCTGGCAGCATGTACATAACCACATAAATGGTAATAAAACTCACAAAAACAAGTAAAGTACAAGTTTTTAACCTGATACTTCTCATTTTGAAAACTTTAGCATGCTTATTCCAGTTTAGGGCGTGTATACGGTAAATCACCAATTCTTGTAAACAATCTCTGCAGCAAGGGTTTAAGCCTCATCCAGAATCGGCTTTTTTGCCACTATAATGGTCGACGCATGGCACACATAAATGACATAATCCGAGAATATCCCCCGCAGCTCCGCCAGCGTAATGTTCGCATACAGATTTCAGCTGGAAGGGAGACCTCAATCGGTCAGAGAAGACGTCTGCTATATTGATGGTACTCACTTCCGGGTTTGGACGGATATCTGTTCGCAGCTTGTTTACCTGTTATTAATAAAGCTTATACTATTATTTTGTCTTATACTATAGGCTTAGAAATATGTCGACTCGATATCTATCGTTGGACATGCGACAGCAATCCTCTATTTTCTAGTCTGTAAGACGTTGCCACGTAACATAAAACCGTCACGGTTCGTGACAAGTTAACATTCGCATTTCTCCAATCCAAGATAACCTGAACAAGTCCGCGTGTGTCAACAAAACAAACGTAAATTTAAATTCACGATGACTAAATAAAACCAAGAAGAACTTACTTTCAGTGAAAATAACGTGTTTACAAACCGCATTACGTACAAGGCACCACACGTTCCAGCCCAGGGTTTTGACCACTCAGGTTTGTGATGTTTTAGCTTAAAATAAAACAATATTTACATAAAACACGAACAAAGGTTAATAACAGTGTAAACACATCGCAGCTTCGCGACACGGAACTAATATAATAATTTATATGGCCACTATCTGACTATTATAGAAAAAAATGCAAAACAACACTTTTTGTGATAGTTATTTTTTCGAACTAAGTTAGGTGGTCCGTTCGAGTTAGGCGATCGCTCAGTGTTCAACATGTCTTCAACGAAGGCTGCGGTTTCTGGCACGGGTCTGAAAGAGTTTCCGTTAACAGGTAAGACATTCATATATAATTTCCATATTTGGTGGAATCGCGCTGTTTATGCTTGGTGCAACGTGTAAACCATGCGTTGAGCTGTGTCAGTCGACGTGGCTTGTAGAATACGTGAGTTGATGATGATGGAGACCAACCATACAGTATATCCCGTACGCGTGAAGCCAGACAA